GACAGTTAGTTGCCAGGATCAATACAGTTGTAGTTGCCAGAATACAGTGTTGTTTCCAAGGTATATAGGGTATACAAAGTTACTGTCTAAGGCCAATTGTCTCATGCCTCTTTGGCTACTAAGGGAACATACCAGAGAAACACTAAGTGATCTGAATGCTTCACTGCCTGAGGGAGTCCTCAGTTTCTCAGGAATTGGAAGGCACACTGTGCCCCAGGAGCCATGAGATCTAATGTGAAAAACCTATGGAGCATGCTTCTAAGGCAGCTGGGCCAGGCCAGTTCCATGGTTCCTTGAAGAAAATATTGCCAGTATTTAGTTTTTATCCTGCAAAATGGCTGGCGCACTCTCTCTCCCTCTCCTTCCTTCCTTCCTTCCTTCCTTCCTTCCTTCCTTCCTTCCTTCCTTCCTTCGTATATTTTTTGAGTCAGGGTTCTCTGTTGTGTCTCTGTTGGAACTTTCTCTGTAGACCGGCTGGCCTCAAACTCAACAGTTCTGTCTGCCTCTGACTCCAAAGTGTTGGGATTAAAGCTGAGCACCATCATGTCTGGCCAATTGTTTCATATGTTTTAAGAAGATAGTAGCTTTTTTAAAAAAGCTAGCTTTATAACGTTCGTTCGTTCCTCTGTGTGTGTGTGTGTGTTCCTCAGGAGTGATTTATTTATTCATTCATTTAGAGACAAGGTCTCAAGGAGCCCTATTGTTCCTCAGGAATGTTCTACTTATTGATTGATTGATTGATTGGCCCAAAACCTTTTTATGTAGAATAGTTGGCCTCAACTTACAAGATCCATCAGTGTCTTTGCCTCTGTCTCCTGAGTACTAGAAATAATGGTGGATGGTACTATGCCTGACTCCATCTTGTTTTTGAGACAGGGACTTAGGACTTCCTGATTAGGGTACATTGGCTGGCTGGCCATTGAACTCCTGGGGATTCTCCTTTTTCTGCCTCCCCAGAATTTGGATTAAAAGTGTCACCATGCCTTGATTTTTCTTTTCTTTTTTTTTTTTCTTCCTTTTTTTTTGTTCTGGGGCATGAACTCAGGTCCTCAGGTTTGTGTGGCAAGTACTTTACAGAGTTCTCTCTCCAACCCCTAAAATTCACCTTGCAGAGTTACATAATTCAGTGATTTTTTTTTTTTATTGGTAAAAACTGTATTCACTAACTGTACAATGACCACCACTAATTTCAGAACGCTTCTATCAGTTCAGAAAGAAGCTATCTCTAGTCACTTCTCATTAATTCTTCATTTCTCACCCCATTTTCCAAGCCCTAGGGAACTGCTGCTTGATTTCTGTACAGATCTTCCTGTTTAGCACAGTTTCTGTGAATGCAGTCATATAACACGTGGTCATCGTTTGTTAGAAAAATGTTCTCAAGATTCACCCATGTTGGCCGGGTGGTGGTGGCGCACGCCTTTGATCCCAGCACTTGGGAGGCAGAGGCAGGCGGATTTCTGAGTTCGAGGCTAGCCTGGTCCACAGAGTGAGTTCCAGGACAGCCAGGGCTACACAGAGAAACCCTGTCTTGAAAAACCAAAAAAAAAAAAAAAAAAAAAAAAAAAGATTCACCCATGTTGTCACATGTGTCAGCACTTCATTATTGCTAAACAATTGTCCACTTGATGTACCGTTTGTGTGTATGTGTGCTGGTTCATGTATGTATGGAGCCAGAGATTGACGCTCAGTGTCTTCAATCATTGTTCACCTTAATTTTGAGACAGGATCTGTCACTGAGAGTGGTGGTTCATGGATTGGCTAAACTTGATGGCCACCATTTCCTGAGGATCCTTCTACCTCTGTCTTTGCAATAACCTTTCACTTGGATGCTGGAGATCAAAACTCATGTTGGTGTAGAAGTACTTTACCAACTGAGCAGTCTCCCCAGCCTGTGGCTGTGTCCTGTTCATCACATGATAGGATTTTGTACTGTTTGTGGCATACTGCTGTTTCTTTATTTTGAATGCAGGCCTAGAAGAGGAGTTACTAGGTCAAGTGCTATCTATAGTTTTTTGAAGAGCAACCAAGCTGTTTCCCAAGTGGCAGAAACATCCTCATCAATACTATCTTTTATTGTTGTTTCCTTAATGTATATAAGTAGGATTTCCTTATGGTTTTGGTTTGCATTTCTTTAATGATCCAGGATGTAGAACATTTTTATATGATACATATATATTTAGATACTTTGCTTATTTTTACTTGAGTTATTTGCATATTATTATTAGGGTCTATTTGTTTGTTTGGGAGAGTAACAGGATCTTGGTTTGTAGCCTTGGCTAGCCTTAACTATTAACTCCTTAGTATCTTGAGTGCTGGAATAGCAAGCCTGAGCTACAAACCCAGCAATGTGTTTTACCTTGATTGTTAAATCCTAATTTTTCACATTTACTTATTGGTTTATTTATCTATCTGTGTGAATGCATGTGTGTGACATCTCTGTGGGCGTATTTGTAGAGGTCAGAAGATAACCCAAGGAAGTCAGTTCTTACCTGCTGTGTGGTTTCTGGGGACTGAACTCATGAGAGCCTTGCAGCAGATGTCTTTACTAGTTGAATTATCTTTTTGTCTGTTTGATTTTTGAGACAAGAGTTTTTCTGTTTGGCCCTGGCTGTTCTGGAACTTGCTCTATAAACCAGGCTTGCCTCAAATTGAGGAATCCCCCTGCGTCTGTCTTCTAAGTGCTGGGTGGGGTTAAGGGTATATACCAGTGTGCCGAGCTACCAGTTGAATCATCTTGCTGTCCCTGTTTTTATTTTTCATTCCCATTAATTAGCATTAGTAAATTGAAAGTATTTAGTCCCATCAGTTAGGAAGATTGGTATTTGTAAATATTTCCCCCCTTGAGTTATTTCTTCACTTTTTCAGATGTTTTCATTTTGTAGTACAGATTGGTATACTGTACTACACTGTGTGTGTGATGTGATTGCATGTGTATATGCATGTTCATATGTGTATGTGCATTTGTTTGTGTTGGAGAGCATAGTTTGACATAGAGTATCTTCCAGGATTGCTTTGTACCTTATGTTCTGAGGGAGCGTCTCTCCCCTGAACTTTTGGATTTAGCTAGTTTAGCTATTATAGTTTGCTTTGGGAATTTCTGGTTTCCAACTACCAAGTCCTGGGATTGTTGGTGGAGCCGACATTCCTGTTAAGTTTTTTATTTTATTGATGGTATCTTTTAAAGTAGGTTTTGCACCAGCAAATGGCTGAGCAGAAGGTAGAGGTGCTTGCACTCACGTCTAGGGGCCTGAGTTTAATTTCTGGATTCCTGGAGGTGACAAGTGAGATTGACTGTCAAGTGTTGTCCTTTAAAGCCTCTTGGTACATGCCTTTGATCCCAGACCTCAGGAGGCAGAGGTAGGTAGATCTCTGAGTTCTAGGCCAACCTGGTCTACAGAGCTAGTTCCAGGACAGTTAGGGCCACACAGAGAAACCCTGTCTCAAAAAAAAAAAAAAAAAAAAAAAAAACCAAAGTTGTCCTCTAACTGCCATGTGTTTGCTGAGCCCCTATTGGGCTTGGGCTCCCACATGTGTGCACGTTGAATAAAGTACACTTAAATTATAATGACATACTATTCATCCTTTTCATTTTCTTTTGTTGTTTATCCTATTGGTATAAAATTAATAGAAAGTCTTTAGCTGTTTTCTTTTGAGACAAGGTTACACTAGGTAGCCTTGGGTGGCTAGAAACTCAGAGATCTGCCTGTTTCTGCTTTCCAAGTGCTGAGTTTAAAGGTGTACACCACCACACCTGAGAGGTTTTATAGTTGCTTTCGTTTTCTCCCTATAGATGTGCACCATCGTCTTAATTCTTATATTTAGGCCTTTTATCCATATGAAGTTATTTTTGTACATGGTATAAATGATCTTAGTCATTTCTGAGTTGGAGAAATAAGGTATATTTGGAAAATATTGGCATATCTAAAACTCCTTCCTTGCCCATGAGCCCTTGTACTCTGGTTTATTGTGTTGGGCTTGTTGAGGCAGTTTCTTACCATGTAGCCCAATCAGGCTACATCATTCTGCCACAGCTCTATAAGAGCTGTAATTATGGTCATGCCTTCACTGTGTCTACTTCCAGAGTTTTTCACATAGTTCTTTGATTGCTGGATGGGAGAGATTCTTACTGTAAACTTAGGTGTGAGTGCATAGGAGTCTTAGCTTCAGTGTTGCTTTAGAATAAAAGCTTCAGAGAAGTGTAGTTTTCCTTTGAAAGCATATTAGAGGGAAATTTAGTTCTTGCATGGGCTGTAAAAGTGACCTGTATGAATTTCAGAAGGTTTCTTCTCATTGCCATGAGTGGAGAGTGAGGTTTTATGGAATTATAATATTCAAATCAAGGCCAACAAAAGCTAGAAAAATTGCTGGCTTCAAGGCATGTGGTTACAGGAGGATCACTGGGTCTTGCTTGCTTCCAGCTTATGTGAGAAAATAGGAGCCTCAGAGTTAGGAAGAGACTTAGCCTCAGAGAAATAGGTAGAAAGTGAAAGGGGAGAATGCTTGATGTCCTTTTGGTCTCTGAGCATAGAGGCATCGTGCCTGGATATATAAGTGCATATATATCACAAAGTCACATGGTCACAAATTTAAAACAAACCTTCCCTTTTTTTTTTAAATTAAAAAAATAATGTATGATGACTGTTTGTCTGCATGTATGTATATGTACCACATATGTATGCGGGGTGTCCACAAAGAGTGGACACCAGGATCCCCGGGAACTGGAACTACAGATGGTTGTGAACCAACATGTGGGTTCTGGGAATTGAACCAGGTGATCTACTAGAGCAACTAGTGTTCTTTGAACCTTTCTTTGGGGGTGGGGTGGGGAGTCTGGGTATGGCAGCTCACACCTTAAGGTCAGCTTGCTTGGTCTTCATAGTACATTCCAGGCCATCCAGAGCTATATAGTAAGTTCCTATCTTAAAAAGAGGGGGGGTGGGGTCGAGTGGGGTGGGAGTGGTACCGAGGCTAACAAATACATATGTATTTTCCTTTTTCAGGTTCTCAACTGCTGCGGGAGTTGAAAAAGATGGATGATAAAGCCCTTTTGGTGGAAGTACAGCTTTTAGAAAGCAAAACTTACCATGCACTGAGTAATCTGCCGAAAGCCCGAGCTGCCTTAACCTCTGCTCGAACCACAGCAAATGCCATCTACTGCCCCCCTAAATTGCAGGCCACCCTGGACATGCAGTCAGGTAACAGGCCCAGCAGTGCATAGGATGCGCTTCCTTACTGCTCTCCTTATCTTAAGGGTGAAAGGAATGGGGATTGAGGAGTAGAGGGTTGGGTAAGGGTGGAGCTGAGGCTGGCTGATTTGGTTCGACCTTCCTCACAGAAACCAATTGCAAGGCTGCCTTTCTAACCAGGTTTTTCCTATTAACTGTCTAAAATAATTAAGAACATAGTTATTAGTGCCTGGCTTGAAACCTGACTCTCAGAGCCATCATACCTTATGGGTCTCAATTAATTTACCTCTTAGTTACTTACTGAGAATGCTAGCATGTCTCTCCCAGACTGGCTTACTATGTGTGTCAACCAAACCTATTAGTCTTTTAGAGACTTTTGGAAGCTTGTAGGTTTGTTTTTTTGTTTGTTTGTTTGTTTTTTTTAAAGGGCCACATATCAGGGCTATTAGAAGATAATCCTAATCCAGATGTTCTGTGTTGTTTTCATACACTTGTGCCTTGTATACAGATTCCTATGTATCTTTCTGGACCCAATTCAGATGCCTCTTCTGCATATGTCCTTTGCTCATTCTTTCTTGTTATTGACACAGGGTCTCATTATATAACTCTGAACCAGGCTGGCTTCCAACTCACAGATTTACCTTTGCGGGCTCTCTGCTTTTGAATTAACGTGGGGGAGGTTTTTTTTTTATATGAATGAGTGTTTTGTCTGCATGTATGTATGTGTACTACTTGTATGTCTGGAGCCCACAGAAGCCAGAAGAGGGCATTGATCTCCTGGAGCTGGGGTTACAGACAATTGTCAGCCACTATGTGGGTGCTGGGAACTGAACCTAGGCCCTCTGCAAGGACAGGGGCTTTCTCCATTCCCCAAAATCTGTTCTTCTGTACACACTATCATAATAAACTCCTAGGAGTCTTGTCTGTATGTTTTCTGCTTGGCACATGGAAGATTCCCTTTAATGTTTGTGTTGAATGACTGTGTGGGTTTTTGCTTTTAAAAGTAAATATTCAGGCTGAAGAAATGGCTAAGCAGTTCGGAATGCATTGAGCAGCTCACAACTAGTCTGTAATTCCAGCTCTAGGGGATTTGATGCCCCCTTCTGGCCTTTCTGGGCATGTACACAAACACACTCAGATACATGAATAAATGAAAAAAGAAAATCTTAAAAAAAAAAAAGTAAACATTCTGTGGAATCCATTCTCCTAGCTGGGCTGCCTTGTCTGGCCTCAGTGAGAGAGTATGTTCCCAGTCCTGCAGAACCCTGTCTTGAAAAACCAAGAAAAAAAGAAAAGAAAATAACAAATTTGATTTTGAGGCCTTATTCCCACCCCACCCCACTTTTGGGAGTGGTGAATGGTTTCCAGGTAGGATTTCTCTCTCCTGGACCCATTTTGTAGACCTGGCTGGCCTTGAACTCAAAGAGGTCCACCTGTCTCTGCCTCCATTGCCACCATGCTGGCCCCACTCTGCCTCCTCTTAAAAAGATAATGTTCCATATAATAATCTGTGCTGGCTTTGGACTTGAATTCTTGTTTCTCAGCCTCCTGAGTATTGGGGTTATAAGCTCCTCCTTTTTCCCCCAAACAGACTTATTTCAGTGATTTATTCTGCCCTATTGATATGCTGGGAGATATGGGGAAATTCAGATATATTAACTAAGCTTGACAGCTTTAGTAGTTTGTTGTATCTTTTTTCCCCTTTTAGATTTATTTAGTTCTATTTAATGTGTGTCTTTATTTTGCCTGCGTGTATAGTCTTTGTACAGTCCTGTGTGTCTGGTGCTCACAGAGGCTAGAAGAAGGTGTTAGATTCTCTGGAACTGGAGTTACTACCATGTGTGTTAGCTACCATGTGTGTTCGGGGAATTGGATTCAAGTCCTCTGGAAGAGCAGTCAGGGCTTTTAACTGCTAAACTATTTCTCCAGCCCCAGTTTGTTATATTTTGAGGGACTGTTCCTTGGCTATAAAGAAGTACATATGCTGGGTGGTGGTGGCACATGCCTTTAATCCCAGCACTTGGGAGGCAGAGGCAGGTGGATTTCTGAGTTTGAGGCCAGCCTGGTCTACAGAGTGAGTTCCAGGACAGCCAGGGCTACACAAAGAAACTCTGTCTTGAAAAAACAAACAAACAAACAAACAAACAAACAAAGTACATATTTTCCTATAGGCCTCTTTAGTTAAGAACTGTTAATAAAAGGCTTTGACTCTTCCCTCAGGTGGAAGATATTAGGTTATAGGCAAAGGTGCTGTGCTTACCACCTCTGTGCATTGTGTCCCAGTTGCTAGAGTGAGTTATGGGCGTGCTGCTAAAATGGTGATTTTTCTGGGATCAACTTTTAGCAGCTTTATCCTTTTACTTTTATCTGCTAAGTATTTTATATAAAGAGTGTAGGGAAGCACTCTGGTAAAGAGATGGCTGGGGTTGAGGTCTTTAATGTCATAAAGGGATACAGAATTAGGCTAATCTATAGAGGGATGCTTCTCAGCTTACTAGCTACTAACTTCCATGTCATCTCAGGTGCATGTCATATGGTGCATGTAGTCATTTCAGCTAACATTAAGCTCATCTGGAGCAACCAGATTGGGCTTAGCGAGATAAAATTTGGCATTAACCTAAAGATATTGACTAGTTGTGTGTAGGTGTTTATGGAATTGGATTATATGAGATTTATTATACACTTACTGCATATAGGCAAAAGCACATCCACAAATAAGTTCTATTTGAAATGAAAGAAATAACATGTTGGGGAATGTTACCAATTAGGATAGCTGCTTCAGAATGAAAATCCTAAATTTAACCAGGTGTGGTAGCACACACTTTTACTCCAGTATTTGGAAGCAGAGGTGGATCTCTGTGACAGCTGGAGGCCAGCCTGGTTTACATAGTGAGCTCCAGGGCAACTTAGGTTACCTAGTGAGACCCTGTCTTGAAAAATTAAACGAAGAGAAAAAAAACAAACTCACCTTAGAAAAAACTGCATTACTAACTCTTTTTTTTCTAAAAAATCTGTTTATTTTATGTATATGAGTACACTGTAGCTGTTTTCAGACATACCAGAAGAGGGCGTTGGATCACATTACAAATGGTTGTGAGCCTCCACGTTGTTGCTGGGAATTGAACTCCTAACCTCTGAAAGAGCAGTTAGTGCTCTTAATAGCTGAGCCATCTCTCCAGCCTGCATTACTAATTCTTATTTTTTATTTTAATTTGGTGGTTTTGCTTTTGAGATACAGTCCCATGAAACCCAGGGTGGCCTTAAAATTGATTTGTAGTTGAGGATGACCTTGAACTTGTGATCTTTCTGTTCCCGACTCCAAGTGTTAGGCTTACAGATGTTTGACACCATGTTTAGTTTATTTGGTGCTTAGTGTAGATGCAGGGCTTGTATGTGCTGGTCAAGCACTTTACTATATCCCAGCCCAGAGCTGAGCTGATGTTACTAATTGAGTCCAGTCATGTGGTCTGGGCGTGTGTGGAGCAGCTCACTGGCCTGTCTAGGTGATGTTCTGGAGGTTAAACATTTGTTCTAGTGGTGGTAGGACTAGGTGGTAAGAAGCAAGGGAGAGAATGCACTGTATGGTTTTGGGGTTCCTTTTGAAGTGGGTCTCTAACTCCTTTGAGAATATGAAAATGTGGTGCTGATCAGAGAAGCTAGAGACCTGGGGTTCTGTTTTTGGTTTTTCGAGACAGGGTTTCTCTGTGTAGCCCTGGCTGTCCTGGAACTCACTCTGTAGACCAGGCTGGCCTCGAACTCAGAAATCCGCCTGTCTCTGCCTCCCAAGTGCTGGGATTAAAGGCATGTGCCACCACCGCCCCTCAAGACCTGGGGTTCTAATGTCAGGTCTCAGGAGCTGGCTGTGACTTGTGGCAGTTCCTTTGTTTACACTTGGGCTCATTAGTAACTTGATGCTGTTGGGGTCAATTTCTAAGGCTTTTTATAGCTCTCCTATGGTTCTGTTATTTTATATGGTTCTTTGTTATTTCTTTTCACTGACCAGGTATTATTCATGCAGCAGAGGAGAAGGACTGGAAAACTGCGTACTCATACTTCTATGAGGCGTTTGAAGGCTATGACTCCATTGACAGCCCCAAGGCCATCACATCTCTGAAGTACATGTTGCTGTGCAAAATCATGCTCAACACGTAAGTGACCATTAACTGGAAGATGTGAGAACTAATATTTCTGCACCACAGCAGAGTTGGCTCAGGCAGGGAGTTTGGCCACTAATAGGTGCAGCTCTCGCTGCTGGCAGTGGGGCTGGTTGACACAGAGTGGGCTGGTCAGAGGTATTCTATGACACTTTTGCTTGCTTCTCTTCTAGACTTTGGGAGATGATTTTAGAAATTACTTAACTAGGAAGTAAATCTTCTCTTGGAGATTTCTTACTCTTCAAATACTCTGTCCTCACAGGTATTGAGCACAGGACAGAGTTCAGAAAATAGCTGATAGACCAGTGTTAGCCAACTGGCCCCCAGAATGGGAAGTAAATGCGCCAAGTAAATTTTTTAAAAGTGGACTTTTAAAGGCATGGTCGTTAAGTGGTGCTAGAGACTGAACCCAGAGCCTCATGTACACTAGGTAAACACTATCCCTAACCTAGGGTCATGCTTTTTAACTTCTCTAAATTTTATATTTTTATTTCCTCCCTTCATCTATTTCTATCTCTCTCCTCTTTCTGTCTCTTTCCTTCTTTCCTTTCCTTCTCTCTCTCTCTCTCTCTCTCTCTCTCTCTCTCTCCCCCTCCCCTTCCCTCCCTCCCTCCCTTCCTCCCTCCCTTCCTCCCTCTTGGGATATGCCAGGGGACATAGGATTTCATGTGGCTAGACTGGACTGGACTTGTCTTTTTTTTTTTTTTTTTTTTTTTGGGAGACAGAGTTTCTCTATGTAGCTTTGGCTGTCCTGGAACTTACTCTGTAGACCAGGCTGGCCTCAGACTCACAGAGATCCACCTGCTTTCTGAGTGCTGGGATTAAAGGCATGAGCCACCACTGCCCTGCTTGCCTTAATTTTGTTTGAAATTTAATTTTACATGTATACATATGTTTCTCCTCAATGTATGTTTGTGCGCCACTTGCATGCCTGGTGTCCAGAAGGCATCAGATTCCCTGGAGCTGGAGTTACAGATATTTGTGAGCATCTATGTGGGTGCCAGGAATTGAACCCAGGTTCTTTGCAAGAGCAACAAGTGATTTTAACCACTGAACCATCTCTCCAGACCTGGTCTCAGCTTTTTATATGGACAAGGATGATGTCGAAGGCACATTTCTGCTGTCCAAGTGTTGTGATTACAGACATGAGTTACTAGTGCTGGGAAACAAACTTAGGGCTCCATGTATGTCAGGCAGATACTCTACCAACTGAGGTACATCTCCAGGGTTGTGCTTGAACAAGACTTGCTATGCTGACATTTCATTTAAACTTACTATGCTTCCTGTTGATTATTGGGAGATGGGGCACATTCAGTTGGGCTTTTTCTTCCTTCTTCCCTTCTATTCTTTTTTGTTTATTTGTTTGTTTGTTTTTTCCAGACAGGGTTTCTCTGTTTGGCCCTGGCTGTCCTGGAACTCACTCTGTAGATCAGGCTGGCCTCGAACTCAGAAATTCACCTGCCTCTGCCTCCCAAGTGCTGGGACTAAAGGCATGTGCCACCACTGCCCAGCTCCTTCTATTCTTTTTTTTTTCTCTTCTTCCTCCTCCTCTCCTTCCTCTTCCTCTTCCTTCTCTCCCCACCTTTTCTTTCTTTTTTTTTTTTTGGAGATAGGATCTCACTATGTAGACTAGCCTGGCCTTGAACTTATAGAGATCCACTGCCTCTGCCTCCCTAAAGGTATGTACACTACCATGCCCAGTTGTGCTCTGTTTAATTTTGGGATGTTTTTACTGTGCACTGCTAGCCTTGGCCAAGAGTGAAAAAAAACAAGAACTTCTGTAGTGTTGGGATATATGGGTTCAGTTGCTTTTTATCTCGGTTGAGCTTTCACAGTGGAATTCTGGTTAGTTCTGGAGCAATTGACCAAGTTTTTTTTGTTTTGTTTTGTTTTGTTGTTTTTGTTTTTTTTTTTTGTAGGCCAGAAGATGTCCAGGCTTTGGTGAGCGGAAAGCTTGCACTTCGGTATGCAGGGAGGCAGGTAGGGAATATTGCGACTACACTTGTACTCTGAGACCAGCTTATTGTCAAGTTCATGATGTTTGATGGGCCCAGTGTTCCTCAGGTCTTCATCCTTCCTTCCCCACTCCCTGTTTTTCTCCCTTAAGCTTATTCATTTGGGCTTTCTTTATTGTTAAATTCTTGGCCTAGAAAGTCAGTGTTGGGCACTGTTATAGACAGGTAACTTGAGGGACTTAACAGAAATATATTGTAGCATTTGCTGTTAGGTTACAATTTATCTTTGGCCAGATCTTTCTGTTGTGAGCCTGACTTGCAAATAGAACCTACACAGAATCTGACATCCTGATTCTTTGGGTCAGAAACCTGCTCAGATCTGGTACAAGATGCTTGTGAGGAGGTCAGATTATGTGGTGTAAGAACTAAGCTTTTGAGACCTGCTTCTCAGCTTATCTTTCCTTCATACTATGAATCAGGGTATACTTTAAAAAGAGGCCTTCGATGGTTGATTACCCTTTTTGTATATTGGCAAATGTAGATGACTTTTTAGACCACACACTTGTAAGGATGATGTCTCAGGTGTGTGTCCTAGTCCCTCTTTGCTCTTTGACTGTCATGATTAAATCAAAGCAGTCATTTTGAATTTCAAGTATGGTTGTTTCTAAACATGAACAGATTAGGCATCTGCTAAGTCTCTGGATTATCAACAAAAACTGATTTCCTCCTTCTCTGTAAGTGGTCCTAATTTGTTGTTTCTTCAGTAAAAGTTTTAAGTCAGATTATAGTTCTGACTTGGAATACTGCCTTTTACTGTAGAGACTTTGCTCATAACTGGAGTTGAAGCCGGAGTGGTTGCATACACCTTTAATCTCAGAATTAAGGAGGCAGAGGTAGGCAGATCTCTGTTTGTTCAAGGACAGCCAGGGATATATAATAAGTCCCTGTCTCAAAACAAAGCAAAACAAAACAAAAAACCCAAAAACCAAAAACAAACTAGAATTGTAGAGTTGGGATGAGATTTGCAAATGTCCAGGAGGAGGACAGCTAGCTGAGAGTGGTGGACAGAGACTTTGAACGTTTGTTATGTGGCTCTGTGTTCCATAGTGTACTCATGACATTTATTATCTGTAGGGCAGATGCTAGAGCTTGTGCCACTTAGTCAGCCACATAGACTTACCTTCCTTATTTGTGAGGCTGACTCGGAGGAGCTCCTTGTTACTTTGGGCCTCAGTGACAGCTTTCAAAAGAAGCCAGGCTGATCTGGAAAGATGGATGTCGAGTATAGACTTGATAGTTTGGTAGGTATCTTTTTGTAACCAATTTAGAAGTTTTTCTTGGGCCCTGTCTATTCAGTTTTGGCACACTGTAGAGTTTTTTTTTTTTTTTTTTTTATTGGTTTTTTCGAGACAGGGTTTCTCTGTGTAGCCCTGGCTGTTCTGGAACTCACTCTGTAGACCAGGCTAGCCTCAAACTCTTGAACTCAGAAATCCGCCTGCCTCTGCCTCCCAAGTGCTGGGATTAAAGGCGTGAGCCACCACCGCCTGGCCACACTGTAGAGTTTTAATATTCTAGTGTAATATGTGGACGACTGCCTGAACCCCAGTGCAAAACTCACTCAATCAGTGTCTTGTATTAAAGCTAGCAGAGTAAACCTTGATAAACCCAGGGATTATCAGATTCCAGGCCAGAAAGAATTGGGTGCCTGTGGAGATAAAACATCTTGGAATAAAGAGAAAGATATCACAGTTCTCTTGCTGTTTTCTCTAGAGAATCCTTATCTGGGTCTATCTCTCTGAGAAACTTATATTTAAGTCACTTCACATTTCAAAGGGAAACTGGTTGGCATACAGTGATATTCAGTACTGCTGGCTTTTCTACCCAGACCCCTTAAAAAAAGTGATGTTGAGGACAGGTATAACAGAAGGTACTTATGAGACCTTGGATACATGTGCACATGCAGAACAGATCATGTTCTTGACACTTATTTATTTATTTTTAAATTTTCAGACAGAAGCATTGAAATGTGTGGCTCAAGCTAGCAAGAACAGATCACTGGCAGATTTTGAAAAGGTGAGTGTGGTATTGATTGATGGGGAACAGGTGGAGAAGAGGGCCATGGAAGGACTCTTAAAGAGCAGTTTCAGCAGTGGTGTCATCCCAGCACTTGGGAGGCAGAGACAGGTAGATCCCTGAGTTCTAAGCCAGCCTGGTCAACAGAGGGTTCCAGGACAGCCAGGGATATACAGAGAAACCCTGTCTGGACAAACAAATAAACAAACAAGCAAACAAAACCATTTCAAAGTTACAGAGACAGCCAGGGATACACAGAAACCCTGTCTCAAACAAACAAAACTATCTCAAAGTTACAAAAATACTACATTTTGATCCCATAGTCTCTTCACCCAGAACCACATCAAATCCAGGAAATAGTTCTTTACACTGAGTGGAGTGGAATGCTGAGCTGTATTTAATTCATTCGTGTATGCTTTTTATGTCAAGTTGTCATTTGGAACTGGCTTCTGGCATGGTTTTGAGTTGGGAAAGACTCAGTTATCTTTAATGAGTTGGCCACTGGGAGTTTGACCATGCTCCAGTGAGTATATGGGCAACATGAATTGGACTTGTGGTTTGTTTTGTTTTGTTTGCTCTTCTTTCTTTGTAGCCAGCATTTGCTACTTTGTTGGTTCTTTCTTTCATTCTTCCCTACTCCCATTTCACCATTTCAACCCCCTAACACTAGATAAGGGAGAAAAAAGAGGATGGAAAGGAAAAGGGATGGTAGTATTGTTAGACTACTTCCTGCTGGTTAGGGCTGTCAGTTCCCTGGGGCAAATTTAATCTTCACTGTCAGGATATCTAATTTCTTTTTGTTTCTTCTTTGCTCACGAAGAGCCAACCAACAACCAATAACTCACCAACAACTCACCCTGTCTCTTAGGGCCCTAGCATTTATATATCCTCTGAGAAGTCTCTAGAATTCTAAACATCACACAGTTACAGAAACTATTTGCTGTTGGTAAAATTACTCCCCTGCTAGAGCGTGAAGCAAATCATATAGTCAGCTGCTGTGAACAATCTGAAGCAGTTCTATTTCCCACGTCAGATTAAAACAAAAGCATATATATTCTTACATTTTTTAAGGACTTGGGAGAACTGGGAAGTGAGTGTGATTGGGGTGCATTATGTGAAATTCCAAAATAATCAATAAAAATATTAATGTTGGGAAAAATCAGACCTAGCCAGAGGTGATGGTGCACTCCTTTAAACTCAGCAGAGGCAGGCAGGTCTCCTGAGTTTGAGGCCTCCATGGTCCACAGAGTGATTTCTAGGACAGCCAAGGATAGACAGAGAAATCCTGTCTTGAAAAACAAACAGAAGGGAAAAAACAGCACTCCCTCAAAAAGTAAACAACAAAATCCACAAACAAACAAGGGATTTTGCTTTTTTTGCCTGAAGAGCCATATTGTACTATCCTCACAAAGCTCTTAGGAACTACCTGTGTCAGCATTTTTCATTGTTTAATCTCAGAGTTCTTTGAAGTATATGCTGAAAATGTATGTGCAGTTCATTTGGTTTTGTAAGTAGAGTGTCTTGGCTTACATGATTGAGCGTCAGGACAGAAAGGTGGTGGCTCCACACTTTTGTTCCTCATATTCTTTGCCGTCTTCCTTTCAGCTTTCCAGACTTCTTGTATATATAAGGATGATACAGTTACCAGGGTCAAGTGACCTCAGGAGGACTAGTGACTTTAGTGGTGTGCCAATCTGTTATTGTTGTGCCAGGAGTCGCCTCACAAACCACACAAAGACTGATCTCAGTCAGACAGGGATAGTTTGTTGAGCATGCACTCCAAGACTGATTGATCACAGTCACAATTCAGACTTGGGAGCTGAACCATGACATTAAGATCCTACAGGGTTTTTAAGCCTAAAATCTACAAATATCTGTGTCAAATTATTCCACCAATCAGAACTTAGGGATAGAGGATTTCCTTAGGAACATGTTTTTGTTGTACATGTTGTATCCTGTTTCCATTGGTTGGGGTATTTAACTGTGGCAGGGGACTTGCCTTATCTAATATTCATGTCTCAGCAGCCTGGATGTCCGTTATCTGCTCAGTAGATGTCAGTTCTCAGGGAGGTCTTGGGTACTTAAACTTTACTCAACCCCTACTCAAAATGGAAGCCTTATTACAAATAGTTTCTTATATTGGTGCAGGTGTCTCTCTTATGTTGGGGTCCATTCCAGGGGCAGCTTATAAAAGCAAATACCATAAAAGCTTATACCCAGGTGTAGGAAGGGATGCTGTGTGGTTGGTTTATGCCTTCCCCCACAGCAACCCTTGAGACATCCTTCTTGTCTTAACTGCTTTATTCATGGCAGATGAAGTTGCATATGTCTAACTCAGGGTGAACCATAAATTAAACACTTTTGCTGGAAAGGATGCCCAGGAAGGAGAGCTCATTGGCTAAACACTTAGGGCTTATCCAGACACCTCATTAGCATGGAGAACACTAGGCTCTCTGTTACTTGATTGGTTGTCATTGCCCTCTTGGTAGGGTGTTGTGGTCACGTGCTTCAGGACAGGAACCTGGTCAGGAGTTAGTTTGAACTCTTGCTGGTCTCAATTATGAGATTTATTGGGGTTCTGAACTTGCTACTACCTTAGTAGTTCTTCTGTCTGGTGGCATGGTCCACTCCCCTATGTGGATAACTATACAAAGCAGTTCTACTGACTTTATATCGTGATTGGATTGGTTTCCAAGGGCACAGAACATAACAGAATATGTAATCAACTTGGACATGAGAGAGGTTCCTAGTAACAACAGAAACAACAGATGAGAAAGTTTCCTTATAATATTGGTAACAGCACAAAATGGCAGGCTAGTCAGATAATAGTTACCTAGGCCTTAACATTCCATCTAGGGCTTAATATTTTACCCAAATCTTAACAGTTGTGAGGTTTGTTTTGCAGGCCCTGACAGACTACAGGGCAGAGCTCCGGGACGACCCAATCATCAGCACACATCTGGCCAAGTTGTACGATAACTTACTGGAACAGAATCTGATCCGGGTCATTGAACCTTTTTCCCGAGTACAGGTAAGAATCTTCCTGGGAACTTAGTCAGCAGTTTTGGGCTAGACGTGCTATGGCCACTTCCTTTTCCACAGTTGTCCAAAATAGGAACTCAAGGGTATGTCTGTCTGGTAAGAGGCCTCCAAGGGCTTGGACTTGTCTTACTGGGAAATGAAGGAGAAGGAAGCTGGTGGGGTGGAAGGCTGCAAGCTGGCCTCTCCCTGTATTCCAAGTATTGTCCCTCTCTTGTAGTCACTGTACATGTGGGAAATACTTTATGTATTTGGTGCATGGGATGGAGTATATTCTGTATAGTGAAGGGCAGAGAAGTAGACAGAGCAGATCATTAAACATGGCCACAGGGAATCTGGCCCTCTAGATTCAGCAGGCTCAAGAGACACAACAGTTTTCTGTCCTTCTTTTTATATTGGCAGTAAATTCAATCTTTCAGTGTTGCTGTCTGCTTTCCCTTTTAGATTGAACACATATCTAGCCTCATCAAACTCTCCAAGGTAAGTTCTCAGACCTGTTAGGTGTGGGAATAAGGAAAGGTGCAGAGGGCCCAGGCTCTCTGTGGGCACAGAACTTGGGCTCCGGGCTACTGTTGTGTTGTCGGTATTTTGCTCCAATCCATTTCTTTTAAGAGTTTTAACTTTGATGTCAAGCTGGTCTCTGACTATGAATATTGGTGTCTTTAATTATGTACTTTGATTTTAGGCCGACGTGGAAAGAAAATTATCACAGATGATTCTTGACAAGAAGTTTCATGGTGAGTAAAAGTCACATATACCAGGAGCTGGTTAAAATTTGAAAGGTGTGTGGGCCTAAGTTTCTTTCCTCATGGTTCCTTGTAACTCTCCTTTTGAAGAATGTGTAAGGGGCTGGAGAGAGAGTGCAGCAGTTAGGACATTGAACTGCTCTTACAGAGGACCCAGGTTTAGTTTCCAGCATCTGTATAGCAACATACAACTGCCTGTAACTCTAGTATAAGAAGATTTGACACCCTCCTCTGGTGTCTGAGGTTTTTTTTGCATATATATGTGCTATCCTTGTACAGACTCATACATATACACAGAATTTAAAATAATAAAGGACCTTTTTAAGAAAAGAAGAGAGTATGTAGCAAAAGAGTACTGTGAAAAGTTGGGGAGAAAATGAGACTAGGGAGTGGGATTCTTATTTTTCATTATCTAATATCTCCTACCTGGTTTATTACTGTGTTTCTTACAGGGATTTTGGACCAGGGGGAGGGTGTCCTGATCATTTTTGATGAACCCCCAGTAGATAAAACTTACGAAGCTGCTCTGGAAACAATTCAGAACATGAGTAAAGTAGTGGACTCCCTGTACAACAAAGCCAAGAAGCTGACATAGGTGAGTGCTGGCCCCGGGACACAGGGCCGGGCAGCGCTGTCTTCTGCCAGTCAACACTGAACACCGTCTGGTCCTCATGGCTTCCCCGATTGACACTGCTCTGTCTTCTCTTGCAGAGTTGGATCTGTGCGGTCCTTTGGAGAGTGTGTGTGGCGGGAGAGTGAACCCTTGGGGAAATGCTAGGAGATTCTTTTCTTTCTGTTCTACTTTTCGCTCGGAAAGTTTTTAACCCTCATTGGTGCATCTGTATCCAGCGATAGGCGGCCAGTTCTCATGTAATCGGCACTGGCCAACACGGGAGTGGGAAAATTGCTTAAAAAAAAAAAAGAAAAAGAAAAAAAAAAGATTCTAAATAAAAGGAAAAAGGCTTACACTACCTAAAGCTGTGCTCTCTGCCTCCTGGGAGAGGGCCGCAAAGCCAGGCACCCCGCCAACCACCGGGGATCCTCCTCCACCTGCTGGGCGCCACCTCTCCTCCTCTTCAGAATTGGGTGTTTGCTGACCATCAAAAGCAACGACTTTTTATTCTGTTTGTACTGAACCAAAACAAACAACTATGTATAGACTGCTGGTTTCTTTTTCATTTGAAACTGAGGCGTTTGGTGTTTTCCCCTGCCATCTGGCCTGTCCACCCTTCCCTCTCTGACATTGGCTCCAGCAAACTAGCTGAAGGGCCCACTGTGCTGCCGCTACTGCTGCAGCAGCAGTAGGTGCTCGGCTCTGACCTGTGAAAAAATGGGAAGCAGTCCAGGAGCTAGTGTCCACTACGGCCACATGGGGAGCAGCGAGGGCCCGAAGCTCTCGGGGGCTTGCTGTGCATGTGGCTTTTTAACACTGTAACTAGATTAGACTCAGTGTTTTAACTATCCCTCTCCACCCTCTTTGCTTTCCTCTCCTCTCTTTCCTCTCAGCCATGTCCTTTCCCTTTCGCTCTAGAGGAGTTGGGCTGTCTAAACTCCATCTGCTGCTTCCCTCCCTTCCCACCCTTTCCTGCTGTCAGATGGATTTGGGTTTTTTTTTTTTTTTTTCATTTTTATTTTTTAAATAGTGAACATTGGGAATGAGACTGGGATTTTTTTTTTTTAATTAAAAAAATACTAATTTTCCTTGTTGCATTTGAAGCACCCTCATGTCCCCTTCCCAGTGTCTTTCTCTGCCTCTTGAGAGGGTGACCGGACAGGGTGGCGCTGTTTTAGCATGCTTTGTTTTTGGTGCAGTTCCCTAGCAGGCTTTGATGCCTGTGGGCAGGTAAGCGTCTGCTGTGCCCACTGTGCTTTCTCTGCTTATCCACTGTCTTCTCCTCCCTCCTCCCCATTCCCTCCTCCTTCCTGCTGGCCTCTTTCTCTTTCTTTAGAGCCTTTCTCTCACATTATCCTTCCAGGTTTTGGTAATAAATTTCTATTTTGTAAAAGGATTTTGTTGTACCAGGTTTTGCATCTTCACTGAATCTGACTGGCTTTTATTTTCTTTTTCAAAATCAGGTTTTTGTTTTCAACCCTCTTCTCTTCCCATCATGTCCAGTCACTGTTTTGGTTTTGGCACCATCAATATCAAATGTACAAACGGTTCTTGCTGACCAACACCAGGTATATCTGATGTTCAGATGAGTTCCAATAAAATAATTTTTTTTTCAAAAAGGTGTCTTTTCTTGAGTTTTGGAGGGTTTCCAAACAAGTCCCCCTCTGCTGGCTTTGCCAGTGCTGTCTTATCTCACAGCTTAATGGGAGTCTCAGTAACCATGCTGAGAATCCATATTTGAAGGCCTTTGGCAGAAAAATTGAATGTGAGGAGTGGAGTCAGAAATGGGGTTCAGTTGTCTTTTTCGAGGACCTGTGGGATGGGCGGCAGTCTTCAGGTTGTGAGGGTCTGAAGGAGCGTAGGTGCTGAGTCTGGTGCCAGCAGGCTGTAGTGTGGTGCTTTTGCAACCTTCAGTAGCTGCTGTCTTCACACTCTCCTCCAGCCCCAAGCATGATCTTCTGACAGACCCGTCTTTGGGGCTGCCAAATTCCCGTTTGAGCAGTTTTGCTGTTTTCAGTTGTAGTTGTGTTTTTCTGTATAATTTTACTTACAAAAGGTTTTGCTTTTATAAAGTACTTTCTTTATAATCCCCATAGTGATGTGGAGCTGGGGCAGAGGGGGGAGAGCTCAGGATAGCAGCCCCTAGGGTGATGGCTTCAGACCTGCACTGTCTGGCAGAGCTGCGGTGTGTCAGGCCTCTGATGTGAGTCTAGTTCAGATTTGTAACAAACTGTCTTTTAAAGGCTTAGAATGAAAAAAGTGTAAAGTATCGCACTAATTTTTATATATGCATTGGGATATTTGGGGCAATATAAATTGTTGTGGGGGCTAGAGAGATGGCTCAGCAGTTAAGATCTCTGGCTGTTCTTCCAAAGGTCCTGAGTTCAACTCCCAGTAAGTAACCTTGGTGACTCACAACCATCTGTAATGGGGTCTGATGCTACCTCTGGTGTGTCAGAAAACAGCAAGTGTACTCTCACATACATAAAATAAATAAATCTTAAAAAAAAAAATCACCAATTTTTTTTTTTTTTTTTTTTTTTTTTTTGGTTTTTTGAGACAGGGTTTCTCTGTATAGCCCTGGCTGTCCTGGAACTCACTCTGTAGACCAGGCTGGCCTCAAACTCAGAAATCCGCCTTCCTCTGCCTCCCAAGTGCTGGGATTAAAGGCATGCGCCACCACTGCCCGGCTCACCACTTCTTTTTAAGTGTAATTACTAGAAAATAGCACATTACTCATGTGACTGGTCAATATGGCTCCCAGGTACTTCTTGACCAGGCTGCACTAACCATCATGTGTTGTACTACAGTTTCCCCTCTCAGGTCTCACACAGCTAGCCTAGCTCCCTCCCCGCACCTCACACAACTCCCAAGATCTGGCCATAGGTTGGCCTGGTTCTGGCTATCTAGTTGAGAGCCTTTTTTAGACACTAGCCTTCAAGGTACTGGGGCTTTCTTGTGCATTAGTGAGACTGGTGCTGAGAACAGCAGTCAAGAGGGCTGCTCTGGTGCCCTGCTGGGTGCTGGTTATGTAATCTGTGTTGCTCAGAAGAGCCACTAGATGCTGCTCTATGCCCTCCAAGGAAGACTTCAAGATCCAGGGTTCTGTAGCTCTTGGTTGAACCCTTTGTGCACCTTGTAGTCAGCCGTTCCTTTGGCCTTCTGTCCTTGGGCCATCGTGGGAAATGGTATGTGTAGAGCAGATGTCTACTGAGGCGTAGCATGGGCTTCCCTCTTTGCAAGGCAGCTAAAGATAGGGTTGGGGGAAGTAGGCTGCTGATAGTGGAAACCAGACATCTTCCCGAATCTATGTGAGTGCTGGGAAGAAAACATTTCTGCAACACTCAGCTGCCTCTGCCTTCTGGGCTCTAGATTCTGCCATGTTGGACAGATTGTTGCCCTTTCCTCCTTGCTTCTCAGAACAGTGAGGGGAGCTGGGTGTGGGGAGGCAGAGGTGGGTTTGAGTGGGCAGGAAACTGGTGCCTTGTGTGATCATTATTCTTGGTTGTTAACTTGACTACCTCTGGAATTAACTAAAATTCAAAAACGGAGGGCCCACCAGTGAGGGATTGTTTTTATTTTTGCATAATTTGAAGTAGGGAGATCCACTTCTAATCTGTATCTTGAGGTGAGAAGACACATGCCTTTAATCTGTGGTTTTTTTCTTTCTTTCTTTCTTTTTTTTTTTTGTTTTTCGAGACAAGGTTTCTCTGTGTAGTCCTGGCTGTCCTGGAACTCACTCTGTAGACCAGGCTGGCCCTGAACTCAGAAATCCGCCTACCTCTGCCTCCCAAGTGCTGGGAGGTGTGCGCCACCACTGCCTGGCTTAATCTGTGTTCTTGAGGCAGGAAGACACACCTTTAACCTGGGCTACACCTTCTGTTGGAAGCCTATATAAACACATGGAAGAAGGAAGCTTTTGTTCTTTTTGCCTGCTTGCTCTCACCTTCCTACAAGTCCCTTCCTTCACTGGCATCAGAGCCTGTTTCTACTGGATTCCAGCATCTACAGAAGACTGAGACATCCAGCCCCATTGACTGAACAACTTCTAGAGCCTTAGGCCTTCTGTTCAATAACTAGCCACTGTTGAGAGTTTTGCTACTCTTGAAACCCCTGACTAATATGCTGTGAAGCAAGCTTACCAGGTGTGACCTAGGTGAGTAGGGTTCCTGACAAGTTCTTCCCTCAGTGTGTAGTGCCGTCCTATTTCTGTATGCCCCAGCTACACGAAGAGGCTGGAGTAGTTCACAGAGGTTTTTGAAGGTAATGGGATAGGGTTGGCCAGACAGAAGACAAGAGAGAACATGTATGCAGCCATGCTGGAAAAGGCCCATGAACTCTAGGATGAATTGTAAAAGCTGGAATTCGGTTGCAGGCAACAGCAGGCCCAGGTTTTTCTAATGGGTGGATTGCAGCCTTCAGAGATCTGTGTATAATTAGGGAAGTAGAACACATTTAACTTTTGCTTAATCCTAGAATTTGAAGGGGACCATAAACCCGAAGTCAGCTCCGAGGCTGGTTTTTAGTGGTTGCCCTTCCATGTAGAAACATTGGGCCAGCGGGTCTGAAAGACATTAGGAAGATGACTTATAGCCTACTGTGATGAAAAGGAAGAGACCCAGGGCAGCTCTATTGAAGAGCAGCTACTAGTGTTGAGTTTGATCCATGAGGCTAGGTCTCCGTGTCAGTGTTGAGAGGCTCTTGGAGAGATTGGAGCTGGTGTGGTGGCTCATGCCAGAATCCTAACAGTGAACACTGAAGCAGGAAGATTGCAAGTTGCTGGCGGCCTGTGTCTCAAGGGAAGGTTCGAAGTCGTAGACTAATTTTGAGCAGGAAGGGGTTAACGAAGCTCCTGCTAGCATTTGTTAGAAAGCCAGTGTGGCACCTGCCCTCATTCCCCCACTGCAGCATGTTCTACTGGATCTGGACCGTACTCCAGAACTGTGAGCTAACCCTTCATTATTTTATTATTTATTCAGGTGCTGTGTTCTAGTAATAGCCGGTAACCACTCTGTTCTATGAGAAACATTGTTAGGAAGGGGCCACTGCGAAGCTAGCCTTCCTCTGTGCTTGGTGAGATCCTGGAAAAACTAACGCAGGGCATTTTCCATTCTGGTCACCAGGGTCACTAAATCTTTCTGCTTGTGTTGGCAGAGAAATCTTTGGGCACATAAAGAAACTGGCACTTTCTAACCTGCAAGTACTTCGCCTAATAACCTCAACAAGACTCTTGTTTTGAGTAGTTGGCTCAACTGTTGCAGGTGTTGTCAAGAATTCTCTTAGGTTCAGAGTTAGGAGTCTGAGTTAAGATATAGGTTGGCTTGTTTGATAGTTTGGGGCTTCAGAACCAATCTAAAAT